AATAAAATCTTTGGCCTCAACAGGGCGACGACGTCGAAGCGTCAAGCAGCACAGTTGTCGAGCGTCGAGCGTCGTTATTGATTGGCTGGCGAAAAATAATTACGAGAGATCCCTGAGAGAGTGCCTAGCGACGCATCGAGGCCGAGGAAGTCAGTGCCGTTGCGCGACTTGAAACGAGCCAAACGTCGTGAGTCCCCCATTCGCTTTTTTTTGTCTGTCGCCGCATTGAAAACACGACCACGTGGAAAACGAGTACGGACGCCCCAGCGGGATAGAATGAAATAAACGGAAGACAAAGGAAAGAAGAAAAAAAAACAAAGACTATCCCTGCACACCAAAAATCCATAACTTACTTCATACCGATCGTACCGATGAGCGCGAACGGTTCAGCCGATAATTATCCGGTAATTACAAAATTCGTTCAAGGTCATCGCAGTAACGTCTCCATACGAATTGCGCTCACGCACCTAGTTACGATTAGGCAACACGGATTGGCTTCCCTTGCGTCACGCTCTTGCAGCCAGGAACAGTTGCCGAACCGCCGATGGCGAACCGATCGGATTCGCGAAAGGAAAGGCCAAGAAGATTGGGAAGAGAGAGAGAAAAATTATCGAGGAACCACGAGGGACAGGAAGAGGTTAAGAAAAAGAGAGAGAGAGTAGCCGATCGTGCCGATTCCACTGAAACTGTCGATTAACTCGATCTACGTAACCTAACCCAACCGAACTTAACGCCATACGGAAAAATTCCCCGAGCGCAGTCTTGATGTCGACCCATTAAGAATACCTCGACTATTTCCGTTCGACTCGCGTAACGGCTGGGACAAGCAAGCGGGACTGTCGAATTCCGAAATAAGACGGTAACCCGCGTGAAATTGGCTCGGCAATATCCCCGACATGTTCGACGTGTGAGGACGCGAGGCGGCGTTACTCCTACGCGATGTTAAATGGCAACCGCGTTATTAGAGAACGAGCCATTAAACGTCCCTCGTGCCCGCGCTGCCGCCATCTTGGCCAGTAACCGCCACTTAGGAGCATTAATACGAGAACCTCGGGAGCATATAGTCTTCGTCGGGAAACCATGAGAAAATAGAAGGAATGATCATCGCGAGAACGAGTGTAGACGAGCATAGGAAAAATTTAACGGCTCGACATTAATGGACGTGGACGTGGCGTTGGATTTAATTGGACGTGAGTGAAGGGGGAGAGAGAGGGAGAGAGGAGAATCGAGAGAATCGTAATAAGGGATGAGATATGATATATATGTAGACAAATATGTGTGTACATGTATATATATATATATAATTACATGGTTCCCTTGTTGTAACAACGAGAGCGTGAATTATTAACAGAAGGAAATGAGCTCCAATCAAGTTGGTTATAACGAAGTTGAGGTGTTCATTAAAGAATCTGAGTATCTCTTCGTGTTCGAAGATAAAGAAAAAAGTAATCGACTGTAGGTACATAAACGAAGTAAATCGGTAGCTCATCGTTACCGGTACGTGTTTACGTATTTTGTAGGAAAACTAGCTGGTACCTCTGTGTTCAAGGGCTTTGCCGAGGATACTCGTTGTGAGCTAATCTACACACATTCACTGTCTCTTCCCTCCCTCTCTCTCTTCTTGTCTATCTCCCTCCCTCTGCTTGTCCTCACGGAGTGTAACGACCGCGACGGCTTCCTTTTTTTTGCATTCATAAACCGGTAAGCCGCAGACCGGATTCGCGTACTCGAACCTGACGAATACCCGGAGGACTTCGCGGTCTACGATTTCAGGAGAGAAGGTTATGGTCGGCGAGCCGTCGAGACGCACAATTACAGAAGGCAATTCCTTCGCCTCGCCGAGGTAGGCGGCGTGGAGTAACCGTGCCGAAAGCAGTTGGCACGTGACTTAATAAGGTTATTATCGGTTTTTATATATATAATAAATTTCCAGTATGATTGGAGAGTCATTCGAGTTAACGTATAGGAAAAGTGAACTCTGATGTAATCGAAGGGTCGACTTTCTGACGCCGTAAGGCCGAGTGGACGATCAACACGTGGAGGAAGAAACCCCGTAGAGAGACCGAAGAGTGAGCCACCCTCAACAAGTGCCTTATCGACAATCAACCCTGCTCCCCCTAGCTACGCCTATGAGACCTGTCCGGTAGGGTACATGCACATTTATTCAAATAGGCCTGAACGTGCATCGTCCCGATCAACAAAGCCACTCAGGCCAACATGCTTGGTATTGAAGTAGTATCTTGACGGGAATAGCGTCAAGACGTTTGGCATCGTCGAAGGTATTACAGGTAGGTTCGACATGGATTTTTGCACTGGCCACCGACGGCTAGTGGAAATCTTATGGATATTTATAATTCACGAGTCCTTGAATCTTATCCAGCATGTACGCAGAAGAGTCTCCCCCGTCTCTCTGGCGCTGCCTGACTGTCGTGGTAGAAAATATCCGAAATCTTGAAATTCCGTGAGAAACGTGATAAAACGGAAAATACGTGGGGAAATGGCGAACGGGCATCTTGCGTGGGCGAGATGAAGTAAGTGAAAAAGAGAAATGAAAGAGAAAGCACAAGGAAAATATTCTGGAAACGGCCCAAAGTGAATACCCTGGGTAAAGGTAACGTCTACCGTGTTGGACTCCGTACGAGGGGAGCAGAGGACGCGCAACCTCAAGAATGCGCAACTAGTGCCGTCACGTGGTCATTCCATCGGAAGAAGGTCGACTAGGTGGAGCGGAAGGAGGAATAGTTGAAGGCTGAGGTTGCTAATAGAGGAAATAGAAATGAGCTTCCAGCGTAACCGTCCGGCACCCTGGAGCCCGAGTCCAGAAGATTCCGTCTGGAATCTTCGTAGGGTGGAACGTTCCAGATGGGCAGACGGGAGAGGTGGGTAGGGGAGCAAGAGAAGCATAGAAAGACGCAAGGATAAAATAAGAAAGAATCCTTAGATACACCAGCCAGGAAGCCACCGCAAGGTTCCCGGTTTAGAAAGGACCCTCCTATTACTTATAGGTTAGGTATGACGGGCGTCGCGGTGGTCGTCTTGCTGTTCCAGGATCGTCGGAAATAAATATCCTTGAGGCGCATGCGTCCCTAGCCTCCTGAGATACGCAACCGACGAAGGTACGCTGGAGTACGAGCCGTTCCAAAAACATCGAGCCGGTAATACGAGGGTTAGGACCACGTGGGGACGCGGAGAAAGAAAAGTGCGACGGAGAAGGTCCTCGACGGCACTCGAGTGCCGACACGGTCGATATTCTCGGGTAGACGAGATTTCTTTACTTTTTCACTTTTTTTTTCTCTTACTCTCTCACTCTTTTATTTATTTTTCTTTCACTCCCTCCGCCGCTTCCTCGTCGTCCTCACGTCATCCTAGCGTTAAATAAACGCAACGCATGAATGGCACGACAAGGCACGACGGGGTCGCATCGAAGACACTGCGGTCTAACTATATATAAATATATTCTTATACTAATATAATAAGAGAATTCAAATATAAATATGTTAGAGATAAGAAATAACAGACTATGCCTATACAAAGTATCAATAGTCTGTGGCATAGGTTCCTCAGGTATACCCAGAATCATCCTGTACACTGTGGGAAAGGACTCCCATAATATAAAGGGAACTCACGATCGAAATAGGTAGGTATACTTAGGTCCAACCAAACCGGGTAGGACGAGAAAACCGGTTCAGGTAGACCAAAGAATTCCTCATAAATTACGCCCTTGATTCTGTCCCACGGAGCACCGAATCCTGCCGAGTCCTGCCGATCGACAAAGAAAGGGACAAAGCAACAAAAAGAACTGCACGGGAGAAAACTTTGAGCTTCCAGGAGGTTCCTGGACATCCACTATGCACACGCATAGTTCTGACCTCGTTTGTCAATTTTTTTTTCGAAGGCCAACAGGCCTTAATACGTCATAATCGATCTACTCCCAAGCCCACCATGATATCTAATGGAATAATGTACTTGATCGTTCGTCATAATTTAAAGGAAAAAATCACAGTGAACAACTCGAACTTCCATCTTGTAAAGGTGGATAAATGAACCAAATTCGTTCTATCACAATTACGGAATCTTTTATCTAGAAAAAACGTATAAGAAAATTAGATGTGTGTGTGTGTGTGGTAATTTCAGCAGCACAGGAAGGCACGCTCTGATTGTGAGCTCAAACTCGCACGACGTTTGACAATGGCGGTGCTGCCAGTTCTCCACGACTTCCACCTGGTAACCAGTACATACGCGTACGGTAATTCTCATGCAAACGCGCGATAATGTCCTCTCGCCACGATGCCGGCGACAAATGCCACCCAAAGCGACTTTCGACATGCTTATAATCACAAATGCGATGTCCCCAGTGTCCATTATCGATTTCTGAGACTCCGTAAATCTTTGATAGAACTGTAGGACAAAAATACGTCATGGGTCTGTTGTTTATTTACCATCAACCAAAGACAGGTGCTATGCCAGATACCAGCCTGATACAGGGCATAACACGTAGAATGAACAGAGTTTGAAAGTAAGACAATAACGTGAAAAGGGAGAGAAGCTTATCAGAGACAATGGCGGGCAATGGAAAACCGAAGGACTGAGATGTTCAAAGGGAATACAAACAGACCAGAGTATACAGAATTGTTCAGGTATCACCTGTTCCTGACAAGACAGCCGGCATGGAAGTTTTAACCGCCTTTCAAAAGTAGCCGTTGCGTCGAATCCGACAAATGGCCGGACATGCGCTCTCCATTACGAGACACGAGGTTGAGAACCGACAGATATTCTTTCTTGCAGATATTTTATTGTTCACAAGAGAAGCGATAAAAAATGTAAATGAAAATATATGATTTGTCCCTGATGGTATTATAGCGCGCGATGGGATATGCATTTGCGCATCAGAATAGCAACATTGGCGCTCTTGAAAGTATCGGTTAACTATAAACATATATACATAGACATAAATGCGCGGGCGCACAAACTGTATACAGAATGATTCAAATAAAACTCACCGAGACGATAGGAAAATTCGAAATTAAACGAAATAGTTAAAGTTGTCCCGTAGCACTTTGACACAGCGATTGATTAACTGCCAAACTGTTGCTTAGTGAAAACCTGAAGGCGTATTCCTGCGTCGTTTTCAAACTGCACAGTCGTGTCCAGGTATCCCAACAAAGATATATATATTGGTAGGTACAATGGCAAACAGTGAGATGAAATATTCACTGGCACACGTCACTCACAATATTTCACCTGGCAGCTGTCACAACACGTACTTAAATAATGCACAAGTCACACGTACGATATAACGTACGGGAAACGATGGTAAAAATTCTGTCGTATTTTTTAGCAGAGCACGGAGCAATGAGAGCCACAAACGCCACGGTTTCACCTCAAGAATAATCGAAAGCACGAATAAAATTCCAAGAGATTCTTGATGGCGGGTCGACGTATGTATCTATGTATGTATCAGCCTCGACTCCGTGGCACCACAGTCGCGTTAACGTTACCAGCGCGCACGCACGTTACACCAGATATTCCCGATTGTCAAGAACGGCCGTCTACGCGACGAGTTTTAGGTTATGAAAGGCACGCCACAAGTTTGAGCCGGCTCCGAAGCGTTCAGGAAGGTGGACACTCTTTGAAGCGTGGCGCAGGGACAGTGCCGTGGCACGTGTATCGAGCGCGCAGAGAAGGACAGAGACACGACGCGCAATAAATCCAGAACTGCAATAAAGGAAGACGAAAATAAAAAAAGGAGACGCGTTTTTAACAATACACGGTTGGTGAAATTCGTGGCGAGAAAAGTGCGCGTAATAGATCCGGCTAAGTTGTAGGCACGCCACGAGTAGTGACGCTAAAACTTCACCACGAGTTGTGTCTGAGGATGGTGGGGGGGAAGGATCCCCACGTTGACCGTGGAACCGGGGATAGGGGAAACAGCAGTTCCTCATAGAGGGGGTAGGCGACGAGGAGAAATGCGGTGGTAGGGATCACGAATTCAAGTGGTGGGAGTCAAAAGGGGCTAAGGGAACGAAGGGGAAGTCACAGGATGAGGCTGGTGGGGATACTTTGGAGAGAGGCGTCATGGCGGCCGTTTTCGTACGTGGGAGGGGTATATCCAGACTAATACTATTTTCAATGAGCATGTACTCGGTACATCGACGTACTCAACGATATTTAATGTTCATTGTGTTGTGCAGATACACGAATGGCTGTGTTTATACTTCTTTCAGTGTCGGTACGTGTTTTCAATGCTCGGCGATACGTGTACGAGACTGTAGCCAAGCGAAACAAGAAACTGGCGGCAATGTGACAAGGAGGCCGATGCCGTTCTCACGAAACAGTGAGATGGAAGAGGAAAGACAGGACGACGAAGAGACCTTGCTCAACGTGAATTCTATATTGTGTTGAAGATGCTTTGTGTCCGATCTATAAACACAACCAGGAGGAAGCGCGACACGATGATACGTCGACGCTGTAGAGGATGACTCGTCCCGTAGTTGTGCAGACTGTAGCGTCATGGAGATACCTGGTGCACGTTGCAAGGAACTCTGCACAAAAGATCGTCCCCTACCTAGCCGGCTTTGACATACGTACGTACTCGTGCCAAGCAACTAGTACCGGTCTGTTTCTTGTACTAGTACCAGTGCTCATTCCTCTCTCAAGAACCATTCTCGACGATGATTTTCCTTCAAGCCCTCATCTAGTCTCTCTCTTTTACACGGTTTTCGTATAACGCTATCTCCTTCTATTACCCGAAATCTAACCTCACTCTGTCGTTCTTTCTTTCCTTTTCTGTTTTGGCGAGGGCTTCAGTGCTGCGATCTAAAAAAATGCACGGCCGCCCTACCAACGGGTTAACGTGGCGTTCCCTTCCACGAGCACTAGCGTGTATCGTGTAGCGTGTACTCGTTACTTGCCCCGAAGGGAAATCCGTCGCAACGCCACTAACCCTTCCTGCTTCGTTCTAGGCTAAGAGACGAGTGAGACGATGCTGCTGCAACCCTTCGAATCGCGTGCACCTAACGGAATACACGCGACGTGGAAAGCAACGATCGATCCTGGATACACTTACTGCAGGACTGTGGTGTCCTTTCATGCTTTTTACCCTGGAAGTTTCACACACTGCCGCGGTGGAGACTGTAAGGTAAATCACCACTTATAAAACGTAGTGCGGTATACGAGGAGAGGTATGGAGGAAGGTGGCTAACCTAAATCGTATGTCATTCCTTGGAAACACGAAACGTCCTTCTTGACGTGTGAATTGAGATTTATTGTTCTCACTGCTTGACCTCGGAATCCCGAAACTCCTAAGCTCCCCGATGCGGACTTCTGCTACTTGTATGAGCCCTGGGTACAGAGAACTGGCCGGAACCACCATAGGATAACGTTGGTTAGGATCCCTGGAGATGTTCATATATCTAAGAGCGATCTTCTCTTATATATAAAATGGAATTATCAGAAAGATCCTATTCTAACGTTCCTTCTTTGTTATCCCGTTGGGATTTTAGAAGCTGTCTGGAGCTGGCCAAATAATAGTTGGGGTTAGCTTACTAGCAGTATCCAGTGAGATATTTTCACCTGGCGTACATCTTGAATACCTCTACTACCTGACTGTGCCCTTAGACCCTGTCGATATACTGGTGTCACAAAACTGAAAAAAATATATATCTCAAGGTACCGTATCACGAAATTTCTTTAAAACGCAAAAAGATACTTAACATCAATTTATAAATTTATGTTATTGCTTGTATTTCTAAAAGGGTCAGATCAAGAGGAGACTATACCAAATGAAGGAGGTAGTAGAAAAGTTTCAGTGTGACCTACGCTGTAACTTCCTTTCCATTGCTCGGAGCGAAGAGGGAATGAAAATTAATCTAAATTAAGTAATGACTCTCCCTATCTCAACTCAACGAGAGAGAGAAAAAGAGAGTTCAGAGTATGAGAGAGTTGGAAATGTGTGTATGAGGGTCTAGAATGTAAAAGAAGGGAGAGAAATGAATTCTCTGTCCCCCCCCCAATCTCTCTCTCTCTCTCTCTCTCTCTCTCTCTCTCTCTCT